TCTATAGCAAAGAAGGAAGCGTTGTTTGTTGGCTGGCGTGGAAGCTTGGCAGTACGCGATAAGCTCCTCTTGCCACAAATACTCCTTTAATGGCCCGAAAATGCTTCGATTAAGTGGTTGGCTTTTATGGGAGGTGTGAGCTGGTAGAAACTATAACAACCAAGAGCCCAGGTTGCAGGAACCGACCCCTGACTTCTAGTCAGCTTTGCTGACTAGAAGCCTGGTACTGCCAGGACGCCAGTCAGACTAAACCACCATGAGGAAGTAAGAAGGATCCTACGATAGTTGTATAGGGGGAGCTCTCTGGCGAATCCAGACAGCGAGAGACAGGCTTCAATTAATCACACACACACACACACACCCTAACCTTGTATCTTCCATCTTGCAGTGCAACCCCCTATCCTCGCTACCCCCAGAGCGCATCTTACACCACCACTTGTGTTAACCTCTGCCCTATACTGTTAATCGTTAGGCGTGCTGTCTTGCAAGCCAGATACAGAGCACTGGCCCTGTGGGCTAGTGCAGCATAGGAGGTTGGATCCACAGAATCAACTTCTCCTAATCTCTAGAAGACACTAGAAGCCTGTGAAGACCTATATATAGGCCTGCCCATCTCTTGTAATTAGCTCCTTTGTTCAAGCAAGTCAATTAAGCGTTCTCTTCTCCAGTACAGATTCCACTAGAATCCTCTGTTCTATAGTGGCCATAGGCCACTACAGTGCCTTGTTCTGCTCTCAGTACCTTATCACGCTCTGCTGTTATAGCAAGCTACAGCAGCTACCTCCACCACACCACACCACTTCCGCAGCGCCATTGTAGTGGCGGAGCCACTACAACACACCAAGTGCTGTAATACAAGCTTGTAGGTCACACTCAGCAACGGTATGTTATGCTACTTCAGTTCTAGAGGGTATGGAAAGCCTAGAAGGCCTAGAGGGCCCTTAGGTGACTGAAATTAGGTGTGAGGGTTGTCTGACCTCAGGTGTGGTTAACAGTGTGACACTCAGCAAGGATGAGGTTGAGAGCTGGCATGTTTTGCAGATTTTCAAGGAAGTGCCACCCGGCCTAGATGGGATGTAGGATCGCATGTTGAAGGAGATCGAGCGGTGCCAAAAACGGGACTCGGAATTTTACCGGTACATTCCCTCGGTGTCAACCGTCATATACCGCCCACTTCATTAGAGGTCTTTCACACATTTTAGAGGTCTTATCACACATTTTAGAGGTCTTATCACACATCATCATCAATTTGGTTGGCCATTGTGTGTCTTGGTCAGAAGGGGTACTTCATCAGCGACAAGTATAGATGGACACGACGCTCATAGTGGAATCTTGATCTCTGTTGTTAAACGATACTGCTGCCGTCGCAACCCTCTCCATGTCGAACTGGCTGCCCACCGTGCCGCTGAAACCGCGGCCCGCGCCACCATCATCGCCGCCTTCCCGGGGCAGCAGGACATCGTCGCCGTCGTAAATGGCATGCACAACGGCGTAGCGGCGGGCGTCGCCGTCGCAACAGGTCGACCGGGGAGGTTTGGGGAGGTGGATTTGCGAGAGCGCGTGCCGTCGGGGGAGCATGTGGCGGGGCCCGGTGGGCAGTAGTAGACGCTGGTAGAGTTGGTATATCTCCGGGGGGGTTGGTGTCTAGGGCATCGTTGTTGGGGCCACGGCTATGGGCCTGCTTACAGAGCAAATATCCTTAGCTTAGTCAATTATTGGGGTTGCAACTACGTGATTCCATTACTTAGCTGATGTTGAGGTTCTGGCTGCAAGCTAGAACCTCCTTCTTTATAGACCTTTCTGCAGGATTCAGATTACGTCCTTACAGTGCCAGGCATCTAATCAGCTCCGCTGACTAGATGCCCGGAGTCCCTGAATCCCTTTCTTTCTGACATGCATGGCCGGATCGTCGTTTTAGCTTCAGCTAGAACGGCCATCCAAGGATCCCTAAGCGGCACAACCTTCAACTCTTCACTAAGCGGGCGGCCAGCCGCTAAAGCGCTTCACGGTGTTAGTAATGGCTTCACAACTGCAGTTACAACCAAGCGATGACATCCACTACTGTCTTCCTTTCGAGTCAAGTCGTCAATCTATTGGCGACCTCTTTAATGAGCTAGTCGCCAAAACACCACTCTCGGGCGCTCTCCCATCTCTATCACGCACCCTCGCAACGCCCACCAGCCCAGCTATCGCCTCCCACTCAAATCGCTAGAGTCTCTCGGCTCTATGGCTCTACCTCTATCGGTACCGGGTTACCACCCCCACGATTCTTTTCCCGCTGAGCCGTCGCCGCGGCAATACCAGCTGCGACGCCTACGGCAACACTTTTCTCAATGGCGTCGACGATGAAGGCAGGGTCTTTTTGTTCCTGGAGGGCGCCGCGGGCAGAGGAAATGGCGGCGGCGGAGGAAGCGTAATAGGCTACCAGCTCTTCTTGCGCGGTACCCTTGGTATTGGATCGATGGTGTCCTTGTGGCCACCACCGCAGGAATTTTCCCCGACGCCCCCTAACCGCAGCGATTCCAGCCTTTGTACCAGCCTCAATACCGTCGACGATCGATATAATATCTCGGTGGCTGTTTAAACGGCCGTAAAGAACGGCGTGGGTGGTAGTAATGGCGGAGGCGAAGGCGGCGTTAAAAGCAACTGCCTCTAGCGTCTCTTGAGCTCGTCCGAGTTGAGTGTATACATGGTGAGATGAGGGGACTATGGTTATAGTATATGGAAGCGGGCTCTCTGTTGTGCTCTTTGCGGCGTCTTGGGGTATTGTAGGCCTACTCTGTCGTAGTTTACACACAAGCCGATTGAACAGTGTAAGTGCCATCTTTCTACTTGAGCTGAAGGTGTTTGGGCTTTGGTATAAAGAAGGGTGGAGAATTTCGAATATAAATGTGAGGGAAAGCGGTACAGAGGGGCGGGAGTGATTTTATTAATGGACAGGCGAAACGCATGCAAGTAAGGTTCATTATCACCGCGAAAAAGCCGCGAAAGTTTAGGTCACGCCCAGGAGCCACCTACTTGTTAGTTCAACGGTGGGTTAGTGTCTGTCACGGCCGTACCTCTACAGGTGTGAGCCTCGGAAACTTTATACCACAGCGAGCCAGGGCTATTTGGGTGCGCTGCAGTTAGCAAGGGTCACTGATGAACAAGATGCTACGTGGAGTTAGGTGCTAGTGCACCAATGTATTGAAGCCTGTCCTCTCTCCCTCCGCCTTCCTGCCATGCTATTACCGACAGGACCGTCGTGGATCTGCAGCGGTGATGCTTGCCTCTGCAGCGGTGACGCTTGTGTCTGCAGTGGTAATGGCTGTGGCTTGCGCCCACCCTTGCTTGTGATCCTACATTGCGCCATGAACGCCTTGTTTATCTCAGTAAACTCAGACTCTTCTCCAAAGCGGGGGCGCGTAGCGCCCCACACCCACAGGTGTAGCCTGTGCGTTTGTACAGAGTGGGTCCTTCTGTTTTTTTCTTTGCCGAGACCATATGGTGATTTTGGAGGACTTCGGCCAACATTGCAAAAAAGGCATTTGTCACATATCAGAGCCTCTGAGTAGCGCCCACAGGGCGCCCACCCTATTGGCTGGCTCCCAAGAACACCTAGGCGCCTTCGCACTGCTCCCATCCACTGTTTTAGCTGGTCTGAAACCGAAACAGCGTTCACTATCGCCACTACAGAGCACCGCCGAGGCAGCATGCGGAGCCGGTTCTGTCCTGCGCATAGTAGGTTTCGCAACGATCGAAGTACCATGTAGAGCGCAAGGCTACCTTAACGCGCCAACTGCAGGAATATTACCTGAAAGCTAATATTAAAGGCCGCGAGGTTAAGAATATCGACGTTGAATTTCCTTGGCGTTATTTCGAACTGAATCCACTCCCTTATTAGGTTCTACATTATCTTCGAGGTCAGGACAGATTTTGCTATTCCGAACAGTGGAGCTAAATCTGTAATTAGATCCCAGAAATAGTTTGATACAACTGTCCAGGCCATTTTACGAGTACACCGAATCTAAGGAGAAAAGAAGGAAGAAACGCATCGGAAGCGACGTGGTCCAGATAAAGTGCTAGGCATCCAGTCAACTTCGCTGAACGATGCCAGGAACCCTTTCCTTTCGGACAATTTCCCCCCAGAAACCACAGGCCTGTAGTACAGGCCTGTGATAACCTACTGTTACGGCGTGCTCCAGGACCGCAGGGTGGGCCTGGTTGAGACAGATCGTAAAGGTAGGACACTCTAAAGCTGATGTTGGTAGGAAACCTGAATGGAGACCAGCACAACTCTCAGGGCAAGTACACTGTCAAGTAGGCCGCTGCTCTATAATACATAGTTAAACCGAACAGTAGAGCAAAAAGGATCAGTGTATTGCTAGCATGAGAAACCAAGATTCCTCACTCCATCGTGGACACGATGATAGTATCTATACTACTCAATTCCGGAGGTAACTTGTATCTGCTCCGTTGCTCTGTTCATTCTTTCCACGGAGCAACTACTGGTTGGTCTTCTCCGCGTTCACACTGTCGTCACACGGAACTCCCTGCGGAGAGTAGTCGGGCCGCTCCCGCCCATGTGACGGCCTGCAGGTCGTCACGGCTACCAAGCAACATGATGAATTTAGGATTGGACAACAGTAGGAGTGTCTGTAGGAGGTGTAAGCGCAAGGCTTGGAGGGCAGAGGCTGACTTAAGTCTCCAGCAGTCAGGTAAATAATACGAAAATGCAAGAGGTAAATCAAGACTGCTTATTTTCGAAAATGGGATTCATTTGGCCATTTTTGTATGAGACCAATTCTGGGCTCACCCGGCCAGAGTTGAAGCAATTCAGCATGCTGCGGCGTAGCATGCCAAAAATGGTGGTTAGGCTGAGCAAAGGTGAGCCAACCTGAGTAAATCCTGAGCAGGGACTGAGCCGAGCCTGAGCCAAGGCAAGTAAAGTCGCATGTGTGAAGTACGAAAAAGGAAATTTGGTGAGCCCAGATTCGTCTCACATAACATCAAATATGCCAGGCAACCTGGCCGAGCGGTCCAAGGCGCCACGTTAGGGAGTACCCTTAATATAATCCCAGGATTCCATGGCCCGAAAGGGATTGAGTTCGAATCTCACAGTTGTCAACAGCGTACAGTACCCTCCTAGCTCAGGGGGATCCAATATTTTTGTCTGACTCGGCATTAATTAGTTGCTGTTTTTGCCATCCCCACGGCCAAGTGGAAACATTTTAAGTGGGTACCCATTACGACGGTGAAGGGCAGCAGCGCATCAATCGAGAGATAAAGAAGAGATGTTGAGGAATATATCAAGACCCAGGACCTAACCCTCCATCTCCCGCCCAATCCTCGCAAACCTCTCCCTCCACCGCCCCAATTTCTCCCCCTCCTTCTCCCCCCACGGATCCCGATTCACCTTTTCCACATCCACCACGACCTCCTCGCCTAGCGTCACCGACCCGGTCGCAACAGGCGGCAGCCCGACCACCCTGCCAACCAACCCCCTCCCGCTCTCGGCAGGGCCCAACGGATCCTCCCACACCCTGACCCCAAACTTCCTCCCGCCCCGGAAAAAGAAACCCTCCCCCAGGCGGTCCTCCCCAACGGGCTGCATGGCGGCCTCGTGGACCCCGTCGAGCACGAGGATGGCGCCGCGCGCGAGCAGGCCGTCGAGGTCGAGGGCGGGGCTGTCGTGCAGGGCGAGGGCGACGGCGCCAGCGGAGAGGGCGATGTTGGGGGCGCGCGTCAGGATGTGGTCGAGGTGCGGCTCGCGGGGCGTGCCGTAGAGGTAGAAGGGGGTTAGGGCTGAGGGGTAGGACGGGTCGGCGGCGGCGGAGGTCAGGGGGCGGTTTTTGAGGATGGTGTGGATGGTGGTGCGCAGACGGGGGTGGATTACGCCGCTGGGAGGGAAGGGGGGGGTTAGTGTCAGGTTGGAAATGATAAGGGAGGGGGGGGGACGTACTTGGATTTGGTGGTTAGGTTGCCGAGGAAGGTTGTGGAGGTTTTGGACGTTGTCGGGTTGGGTCGCGGGGGTTCGAGGGAGCTGAGTTTGGAAATGTCTCTGGGGAGGTCTTTGGTGGAATTTTTGAGGAGGGCCGGGGATGGTTCTTCGAGGGCGACGCGCTCGAGGAGACCGGCGAGGTTGATCTTTTCCGAGGTCTTGAGCACGATCTCCTCTTCAGTGTTGCCCTTCAGCTCGCGGTAGGCTTTGGCGCCCGCTTCGTCAAACTCGACGGCGAGAATGATTTGCCGCCGGTGCTTGGCAACATGGAACATGGATCGATACGACAAAAAGATCTTGTCGGTTCCGTGGATCAAGAAGCTGTGGTAGTCGGGCGTGGCTTCGTTGCGCACTTGGCAGACCTTCACCTCCTCCTCAATGACCTGCTTGAACGTGTCACCGAGCATGTTGATAAAGTCGCCCTTGGCTGACAGACTCGCAAATGGGCTCATGACGACGTTTCTCAGAACCATCAAGCTCTCCCCATAGTCGTCTAGCCCAAGCCGCTTCTTGAAGGTTGCAGCACACTCGCCATACAGGTCAGGCTCGAACTCTGTCGACGTCAAGTACAGAGGAATCTTTGTCGGTTTGTCATCTGGAGACTCTACGGACAGCCTTTTGACAACGCGGGTCATCAGATAGTTGGCCTCTTCGACGCCCCTGTTGAGGGTTCCGTCTGGGTAGCGCCAGTTGAGGGCAAAGGCGTTGATGTTGAGGTCGGAGCCGAGAGCTCGGAGCAGAGTTATTGTCTTTTCGGCGAGCGGCTTTTCGGCGTCGTTTGCGACGATCTCTGCATTTGTTTTCGCGAGGACCTCGTGTCGGATCCTCTGCTTTTCCTCCTCGATCAACTTGGGATCTCCTGTCGCTTCTGAGGGCAGCATATTGAACGGGACGCAGGTGAAGGAGTCTTCAGGGGTTGCCAAGGCCGCCCAGAGAGCAGAGAACTAATACAAACAACCTGTCAGCACCTTCTTCGGACGCCACTGCCTTTGAGAAACGCACCCGGGACGAGGTAAAGCAGGCCTCGCTCAACAACGCGCCATAGCCCTGCTGGTTGAGACCAAGGCACTGGTTCGACAGCCAAGTCGACACGGCCGCCGCGCCCGGTTTGCTGCCCACGTTAGCTCGATCCCCTCGAGGAATTCAGACAACCCCTCGAAGAATCCAGACAACCCTCATAACATCAGACAACTCACCTCCCCTCGACGCCGTAAATGCCAATGCTCGTCTCCGAACCGCGTGACAGATACGGACTCGTCCACGTCACGAGATTCTTCAACCTCCCATCGCGGTAGACCAAGGCGCCCGCCGGGTAGGGGATATACCCGGCCTTGTGCGGATCGACGGTAACCGAGTCGCAGTACCGCATGGCAAACAGATCCTCCTGCGTCTCGACCCGCAGACTCAGATCCGGCACCAGCCCGTCCACCCCGCCATCCCTTCCCAGCCCGGCCCCCCGCGGCAGCATGGTCGCAAAGTAGCCGCCCCACGCCGCGTCGGCGTGCACCGCGAACGACAGGCCCTGCGCCTGGAAGCGCTGGCGCAGCGCGAGCACGCCCCGCAGCGGGTCGACGGCGCCCTCCTCGGTCGAGCCGATGACGGCGACGACGGCGTAGACGGGCGTCTGCGACGCGAGGGACTGCGCCAGGCGGGCCTCGAGCGCGGCCAGGTCGAGGCGTGCGGCGTCGTCGACGGGGATGCTGACGGCGTGGGCGGAGCCGATTCCCGTGATGGCGGCGCCCTTGGGCCACGAGTAGTGCTTGGTGCTGGGGATGAGGTAGGAGGGGGACGTGGCCAGGTTGAAGTGCCGCTCGAGCACGTCTTTGCCCGTGGTTTGGACGTTGTAGCTGTCGAGGGCGCTCTGTAGGAAGGTCGGGGTGATGCCGAACTGGGTGTGCAGCTGCTCTGGGATGTCGAGAATGGTTTTGGGCTTGAGGTTGAGGAGCTCCCAGGTCGAGAGGTCTCTGAAGGGCTTCAACTTGCCCTGGCATGTCCGGACGTTGAATGTCTCGGGGACGAAGCGCAGTGGGCCGTCGTCGTCGTCCATGGCCTTTCGGACGGCGAGGGGGTAGAACTTGAGGTTTCGAGCTTGGTGTGTATGTTTGTGTTAGTTAGCACCTCTCTCCGCTGGATAGAGGAGGGGTCAACTCACCGACCCAGATGGACTCGAGATTCGCAACAGTCCCATCACAGGTAATGTGGCCCCAGCCCGCCGGCCCACTCCCAGGGTCGTCGGGGCCATTGAACCCAAACAAATCACAGAGCTGCTCGCCCACCTCGATTTCGGCCACGGTGCTGATCGGGCTCGCCTCGATCGCCACGTTGTTGGGATTGTAGATCATGGTCATGAAATAGCCCAGCATGGCCGGCATGGAGAGATCGGTACACATGTGGGCTTGGTAGCGAGGGTGGTAGAAGGGCACCGAGTGTTTTCCGAGCATCTTGGCCGTCTGCCGCACTGCCTTGGCCACTTTGGCCGTGACACGCTTGAACTCGGCCGAGTCGCGGACCCCCTCGCTGATAAACTCGTAGCCATTTTCCTGGTCTATGAGCAAGGCTGGGGGGGATTGTTTCTTGGGGGGGAGGGGGGCTTACCACGTCCTCTTTGAAGTAGTCCTCTCTTGCGAGCTGGAGCTCGTCGAGGAGGGCCGTAATGTTGCTGCGGAACTCGGGCAGGTTCTCGGCGCGAGGCCCGATGAACCACGAGCTGATGGCTTGGTGACTGATGTCTTCGCCTGAAGCCATGGTGATGGTTGGAGAGAGCAAAGATGGGGATTTTGACAGGCAACAAGCCTGCACAGCTGTTCGATGATGAGATGAGCTTCCATTGCATCTAGTCGGTCCTCTGCCTCCACTCTTTATAGACCATCCGTGTTCCGATCCTAGGGATCCCCAATGTCTTCGTTTTTCGCCCAGCCTTGTTTCGAGTATCAACTTTCCCTAGCTCCGGCCCAAACCCACCATCCCGAGTTCCACAACAGTGATAAACAAGGGCCATGCTTCCCCGGACCCCGCAATCTTTACTACTAGTAGCTACTCACCCGAATCTCCTCAAGTGCAATTGCAGACTTTTGTAGACACGGTTGAACGCATCAACGTAATAATCCCAACAACCTGTACTTATCTCCAAAACGTAATAAAGTCTCGAAAGGATTGAACGTATTAGCGTAATACACTGCCGGTAATCCTCAAAGTCTCCCAGTCGGGCCATGACTTTTCAAGCTCCAATGCGACTGCTACAGGCGATATCCTCTAGCGCGGATGTAGATTCTTGACCGACATGCAAGATGCTAATGCATCTCGGGCCATGCTCAACATCCGCCAATGATTTTTACGAGGATCGATCGTCATGATCGGGATCTTCGATTCTATCCCTGCTCTTCCTGTACCACCCCTACTAGTAAGGAGTGACTCGCGAGTTTGTGCACATTGCTACGGACGTGGCTAGTGGGATGATTCGAGAACGCGACCAGAAACGCGAGGTACGACTCAACCTTTAGGGCCAATGAAAATAACTGCCCTGCTGAGAAAATCCGTACAACCCAACAAAGGCAACACAGAGTAGTGGCCTGAAAATATTTCCCGCAAAATTAGAGCAAGTCGGCATACCTTGCCTTGATCACCTTGGCAGTCAATCCACACCTTTTTGCATACTGAGAAGTGTTAAATGTATCCAAATCGCTACTGTATCGATGTAGTTGCGGCCGTTGCAGCGAGGCCCGGGCCGCTTCAAAGTTGGCGAAGGGTGTGTACATATGGACAAATTATCGGACATTTAATGATAAGCAGTGGCAGGCAGCGCAGGGTTGGCCCAGGAATTTGGGGATGGGAGGGGTGGTGGAATTCATTGCAATTTGGTCGACAATGGGCAGCTCCGGGCAGACATCCGGGGAAATCCAAGATGTGGGTCTCGGAGCCGGGCCTGTTTTGTCACAAAGTGGGGCGCCGTATGACGACCACCGACAACCGCCGATAACACGACACAAGTCGAAACATGATTACAATCCAGCCTTTTTTGTCTGTTGGTACGCGACTTCTAAGCCCGGTCTACGCTTAAAAACGCTTTGATAAACGCCTAATCGCAGTATAATATTCATACCCAAATCCATTCGCCCGTTTTCTAAAT